TGGTCACCCCATCTCAAAAAGATACTGCAGAATTGAGTGGGGGTCAGAGACAGGCAAGAAAAATGATCAAGGGCATGAAAAAATTATAAATAGAGGTTGGGATTATTTACTTAGGAGGGGGATTGAGAGAGGACATGATAAAAGTATATAAAATAAAGAATGTAGATCAAGAATGTTTTTCTCCCTGTGTCAGAACACAAGAACAAGGGGACGTTCAGTTAAAAGGTGGCAAATTCAAAACCAGTGCTGCTTTACACAACATATAGTTAGACTGTGGAAAAAATGACATAGGAAATCATTGAGGCTAGGAATTTAGCAATATTCAAAAGGGATTGGACATTTGTATAGATAATATCCAGAGTTGTTACAATTAATTATAATTTTGGAAGAGATATTAAAGGTTATGCATCAGTGCCTAAACCAGTCTCTTATTATTGGAGACCTAATGTGGGAGGCAGATTCTCTGATCTGCCTACAGAAGGGTTCTTACGCTTTCCTCTGAAGCATCTGAACCCAGGGCCACTGTCAGAGAAGATGTCTGTTATTTAGATATATTATTGTAGCACCTAGGAGCTCTAGTCACGAATCAGAATCCCATTGTGCTAGGTGATGCATAAAGATGAGCCTTTCCCCCCCAATAGTTTATAATCTAACTATAACAGACCGACAGGAAAGTACAAGAAAATGATGAGACAGAATTGGTCATCATGATAGGTAGTGGTATTAGCAGACTAGTGACCTAACCATTGCCAAATTTTTTTGTATGCATCTAGTTGTCAGCTCAAGCTCTAAGCGGCTAAAACAGCTCTTAATCCTCCCTTTCATCACCACTACTCAAACCCCAGGTTATGGGCAAGAGTATCTTCAACTAGGCCCTCTCCTTTGGTACTCGCCTCCAGGCTATGTCTAAGTTTTGCATATTCTTTATGCTTAACTTCTCTAAGGTACAGTCTTCCCTATTTATCCACAGCTAAAACTTTTGTCCAGATTCTCATAATCTCCTCTCTCAATTATTGTGACATCCTTTTCTCTGACTTTGGCAAATGCAATCTTGCGCCGCTGATATCCGTTCAGAATGCTGTTTCAAAGATCATTTTTCTAGCCTGTCACTTTGACCATGTCACCCTCTCTTTGCATCACTTCACTTGTTCCCTCTTTATTATATCAAACTTGTCTTCATTTTCATGGTCTTTTATGACCTATCCTCACCCTACTTATCTTTCATTCAGTATCAAAATGTTGACTCCCACCTCTGACGAGCCCATGATGTCAGCCTCCATAGCTCACTTGTTTAATTTTCAGACACCTTTGTGCTTTCTCCCATGCTGCTCCTCATGGTTGGGAGAAGCACTCTATAAACATCTGCAAAACTAACTCATTTTTCTCCTTTATAATTCTTCTTAAAACCCCTTTTGACACAAGGCTTACAAAAAACTTAATAATGGGTTGGCTATTGGTGCGCTGAGACCATTGCCGGTCATGCTAACTATGAAGGGGCACACCCACACACTGATAGAGGGGACTAAGGAGCTCCTCTGGGCCTGTTCAGTGGCAGCAAAGCACAGCTGCAAAGATTGTTCTATCTGGGGGTGGGAGCTTAAAAGGGAAAACCTGCCACAGGAAGGTTCCCTCCCCAACCCCCACCGTCCAGACAGGCCTGCTGAGGAGACAGCAACAAGGCTCCCTGCTCCCAAAGCTGCATGAACCAGCCTCCAAGCAGCAGGCCCTAGAGGAGGGGCTGGAGGTGGACCCTGTGTAGGCTAAGCCAAAAGGTCTGACCCAGGAAGACTGCCTGAGTTCCAGGTCACCCTTACTTTTTTTAAATTTCCCACAGGCTCCCTTCCCCCATAAGGGAGGAAAAAAGGGAGAGGACTTTTCTTGTTTGTTCGTATGCTCCAAGACTCCCTTGGGTGTCTGCCGGAGGTGGGGGGGGGGGCAGGAGAAAAGACAGTACAAGGACCTGAAGCAGAGACTTGAGGGGACCCTGACCCCCACCCTGACCTATATTGTGTTATTGTTGCCTTGTGCTCCCCCATCTGTTTGTATCCATCTGTTGTCCCTTGTCTTATACTAAGGCCTTGGCTACACTTGCATGTTATACCGCAATAAAGCTGCCCAGAGCGCTCTAACTCACTCCCCGTCCACACTGGCAAGGCACGTAGAGCGCTCTGACTCCCTGGCTAGAGCACTTCTGGTACTCCACCTCTCCGAGAGGGATAATGTCTGATGCACATCTGATGCGTATTGGGTGAGACGCTGCAGCTCCAGTGTAAACGAGAAGTTACGTTACTACGCTCTGATTGACCTCCGGAAACGTCCCATAATCCCCTTAACTGAAGTGGCCTCTCTTGTCTTTGTTGTGAACTCGAGAGGAATGCGGAAGTGCCCTTTTGGAGTGCCTGCTGCTTATCTGGTCCGAAAGAAAAAATAAACAGCTACTGTTTGCTTTGATTGAGTGAGAGAGAGGCGGGGCAGGCAGAGGGGTCTGAATTTACAAGATAGCACGCTGACACACTCTCAGCACCCCAAAAACCCACTCTCCCCCCCACACATACACACAACACACTCCCTGTCACACTCCACTCCACCCCCCCATTTGAAAAGCACGTTGCAGCCACTTGAATGCTGGGATAGCTGCCCATAATGCACTGCTCCCAATGCAGCTGCAAGTGCTGCAAATGTGGCCACGCCAGTGCACTTTCAGCTCTCAGTGTGGACAGACTGCAGCGCTTTCCCTAGTGCACTCTCCGAAGGCTGGTTGAACTCAAAGTGCTCTACATCTGCAAGTGTAGCCATACCCTTAGTCCCTGCCTATATGAACTTTCAGTCTGTCTTTTTGTTCTGTTTGTATGGCGCCTGGCACAATGGGATCCTGGTCCACAACTGGGGCTAGATACTATTGCAATTCAAATAAAAATAATGCCTGTTCGGCTACTATTCGTGTTAATAACTTACTGTCTTCCCTGCAACAGCTAAATAGTTAGCTCTAGTTGGTACACTAGAGTTACTCCAGTGGAGCTAGCAAGCTGGAGTGAGAGTGACCACACTGCAAAACAACACTATGCAGAGTGATTTGATTAGCAGCACAGAATGATTGAATTAGCGGGGTAGTTGGATTAGCCATTGAGCTGTTATAACTTCATTTCCACAGCATTACTAGCTCCAACTTCATCACCATTTGAACTTCAACCCCTCATGCAGCCCCTCTCCAATCCCCTCCCACATCTCTGATGGATGAGCTAGTTTACATCTTAAAGGCAGTGGTCTCCAAAGTGGGGTGCGCGCAAGAGGATCCTTGGGGGTGTGCGGCAGGAGGAGCCCTTTTTTTTTTTTTTTCCTTTTGCTTCGGCAGTTCGGGCGGGAGTCCAAGCGGCTTTTTTTTTTTTTTTTTTTTTGCTTTGGCGCGGCAGGGGGTGCATGCTCAAAAATTTTTACTGATGGGATGCGCGATCAAAAAAGTTTGGAGACCACTGTCTTAAAGCACCACTTAACTCCAGCTAGATATTTTCTTTGTGGACAGAAGTCGGGTTAGGGGCAAAACTTGAGTTATACAGTATACCTCCAGCTAACAAAGCAATGAAAACAAACCCATAGGAGCTACACTTTTGTCAGATTTTATTCTACAAGAAAAGGGTTAATGTGCAGCGACTGACAGATTTTTATTTTAAAAAATCCCTAAGAAAGTTATACAGAAGCTCCCTGACTTACGCAAGTGTTTCTTTCTGGAACGCCTTGCATAAGTCGAATTTTGTGTAAGTCGGGAACGTATCTCCAACAATTACGCCCCCCCCAAAAAAAAAAAGCTTACGGAACTTTTTCCGTAAGTGCGGATTTCCGTAAGTCTGGTTTGCGTAACCCGGGGAGCATCTGTATATAAAAAATTTTGTGAAGCGCACACAACCTACTTGGCAAACTCTCAAAAGCAAAGATATAAAAAGTCTCCTACAGTACAGACCTCTGCTCCACCTTACTATTATTACAACTACAATATGCCACAGACCATGCCCTGATAACTTAAACCAGGATTCTACCTGGGATGTGAGCTTCCATCCTCCCCTTTAACTGCCTTTACAGCCACAACCCTTTCCCAGACTACCCTCTCTCATCACTACCTTTTGCTACACCAGCTGTCTACATGTACTAGTGTTGGGGAAGGGAAGAAATAATCAGGTAAAAAGTATGTACAGAAGGATGGAAATGGGGCAGAGTTAAGGTTTTGGTGCATGATCTGTAGTATATTGCAGTTGTAATGTTAAAGTGTGTGCTTGTGGGTTGAATGTGTGTTGTTAGGTGGCTTACCTTTGATTTCCTTATTTTTGTGGGTAGGTAAGTTGTAGCAACTCAAACTGCTTCATAACAGATTTTTGTGTGTCTAATAGGATCTAGGTAACTGTCTTCAGTTGCTAACTAATACTTGGCACATAATTGGTTGCTATTGTCAGTAGTGCTTTTGACATTTTAATGAGCTGTCATTAGTCATGCTATGGAGAGAATTTCAGAGCATATTTTTATATTCTACTCCGAACAGAGATACAAAAAGTTTGGGCTCAATTAGTACCCCTTGGGGTAAAGCTATGTGTCTGTCTGGAGTTCTGAGTGTTAAGGATGTTCTAGTAGCACATTCTAGGTAAATCCTTACAAGTTGTAACCTAAACAGTGCATCACATAGTTTTTACTCGTTTGTTTTTGTAACTAAGATCCAGTCCAGCAAATACTTGCACTTGCTTAATTTTGCTCACTTTGTCCTTTTTGACTTTATCAGGCTACTCATGGATGTGTTTGCAGGATTGAGATCTAATACAGGATTGTAAAACGATATGACAGTGAATTGTGTAAGGTAGCATCTTTTATTTTATTTTTTTTCCTTCAGCTTTTCAGGGACACATTTCCATGTCTGCACGCATGGACTTATACAGAGTGAATCAGACTTTAGTCCAGTAGCACTAAACCAACATTAATGTAATATGCATTTAATATAAGTTACAATTTTGTTTTCACAGCTATTTGTGAAAGAGCTTAGCTGACTATGGATCCAGGTGGTGGAAGTCTTGGATTGCAGACACAAGAGTCCAAAATGCCTCACACTATGATTATGCAAGATTTTGGTAAAACATTTTATTTTTAAACACTAATGCATAAAATGGGAGAGATCTTTTAAATAAAACATATTTTCTACATCATTGAATGTAGTTCATGCTCAAATGTAAGGTTAATTAACAGTTTATAATAATATTTAGTATGTATTTAATTTTGTCTTCACAATGCCATACAGAGGCAGTCCTCAGGAAACAAGCTATCCATATTTGAATTCCCACTTTTATCAGTGTACACTTTAGTTGCTGATGTTGGAAAAAGTCTGCATCAATTTTTAAAATTGCAGCATTAATTCTGGATGAAGTAGAACTTCAGTGAGTTGACTAAGGGGCAGTTTGTAAAAAGTTCTGAACGCCTCCTCTGTAGTGCTGAGTACCCTCAATCCTCATTGATTAAATGGTAATCAAGGCTTTCAGTAGCTTACAGTATGAGATCCTTAAACAGAGAGGGTGGTTCAACAAGATCTTTATCTTAAAAGGCAGTGTGACAGTTTTTTTCTTGTGTGCTCAAAAATTGCTGTTTCCTTCTGATCTGTTAGGATGGTAGAGGGACAGGATTTAGCCTTTCTCCCCCTTGTGGAATAGACAAGGCCTCTGTGCTCCATGAATGGCCAGCGATCTGTACGAAAATCTTAGATCTTGGGCTTCCACATTACATCTTAGGCTTTCCTGATGCATAAAAGCTTGAGTCCCTTTAGATCAGGGGTGGGCAAACTCTTTGGCCTGAAGGCCACATCTGGGTATGGAAATTGTATGGCAAGCTCACAAAATTGGGGGTTGGAGTGCAGGGGGGAGGCCGGAGGTCTCCAGCTGGGGGTGCGGGCTCTGGGTTGGGGCTGAGAGGTTGGGGGTGCAGGAGGTTGCTCTGGCCTGGGATGGAGTGGTTCGGAAGGCGGGAGGGGGATCAGGGCTGGGGAACGGGGTTGGGGCATGTGAGGCGGTGAGTGGTGCAGGCTCCAGGCGGCACTTACCTCAAGCAGCTCCCAGAAGCAGCGGCATGTCCCCGCTCCGGCTCCTATACAGAGGCACGGCCAGGCGATTCCGCACGCTGTCCTGTCCGCAGGTGCTACCCCTGCAGCTCCCATTGACTGCAGACCCCGGCTAATGGGAGCTGCGGAGGCAGCACTTGGGGCGGGGGCAGCGTGCAGAGATCCCTGGCTGCCCCTATGTGTAGGAGCCAGAGGGGGGACATGCTGCTGCTTCCAGGAGCCGCGCAGAGTGGGGCAAGCCCCCGACTCCGCTCTCCAGCTGAAGTGCCGGAATGGGGCAAGCTGGCGGGAGTTCGAGCGCCGGATTAAAATGTCTGGAGGACTGGATGCAGCCCCTGGGCCGTAATTTGCCCACCCCTGCTTTAGATCCATGTTCTTAAGGCCTCCCCACTGGCTGCTGTCCTGAATTCCCCCTGCATGCATGCCTGTGTAATTATGTTCAGAAGCTCCTAAATTGAAATGAATGTCCATCCAAGATGTTGCATTGATTTAACTAAAGCAGTTTCTAAACTAATTTAGTTAATTTGCTACTGTTTTCTCATGTAGACAGGGCAAAAGTAAGATAATAGTGACTGCACCAGCCTTAGGTATTTGAAAGGAATGGTACAGTGGGCAGTCTTGACTCTCTCCTGGACCTGCAGGTCCCTAACTCTGCCATCTATCAATAGAGGTTTTTTTTTTATTACACCTCTACCCCGATATAACGCTGTCCTCGGGAGCCAAACAATCTTACCGCATTATAGGTGAAACCGCGTTATATTGAACTTGCTTTGATCCACCAAAACACGCAGCCCTGCCCCCCCGGAGCGCTGCTTTACCGCGTTATATCCGAATTCGTATTATATCGGGTCACGTTATATCGGGGTAGAGGTGTATTATTATTTGTATGGGGAGGACCATTCTGCAGAGCTAGTATTAATGGCATAAGTCCTTTGACTGTGCCAAATTAATTACAATAAAAATGGAAAATATTATTTACCACCTTCATTTTAAAAGGGCTTATGTTCTTGAATATTTTATCCATAAAGATTAAAATTATTGTTTTTATTTAGGCTTTAAATAATTGGATATTTCTAACATGGCTTCTCTTGCAGCCCAGATCCCTGTCGGCTATGTTTCCTAGAAAGGAAAATTGTTAATATTTACTAGAGTGAATAATTGAAACCTCTGGCATAATTTGATACGCAAGTAAAACAAGTGATATTTTTAACAGTTTGAACTCTACAGTTTTTGATATGTTTAAAGAAACTGTTATCTTGTGTCACAGCAAAGCCACCCAGCTTCATGCTGTTTAGTCAGCTTTGCTGTTCGGGCTCTGTTGCACTAACAAAATAATGCAGCGTTCAAGTTGCTAGCATAATAGAAAAATGTTTTAGCTTTTTTAGAATACATATAATGGAATCAGCTACTGACCTTCTGGTTTTTAAATCTCAGCTTTATTAAATCTAAATTGGGGGGCAGATTTGACCTAATGTTTCTTTTAAAGAAAGATTTGGGTTTTTTTGTGCTTTTGTTTTGTTTAATTTTAAAATCATAGACTATTACAAGATGGTGTTCATTCTTATCTGGAGGTATGTGAAATGTAATGAAATTTGTTAGAAGGCAAGGGAGCACTCTTCTATGCATAGCTTGTACCTTAGTTATATTTCTTAGATACAGTACATGTGATACAGTAGTGTGAATGTTAACATTTTCTCTCATTCACAATTGTTTCACAGTGGCTGGAATGGCTGGCACTGCTCATATTGATGGCGACCATATTGTTGTATCAGTCCCTGAAGCTGTATTAGTTTCTGATGTTGTCACGGATGACGGGATAACTCTTGATCATGGCTTAGCTGCTGAAGTTGTCCAAGGACCAGATATCATCACTGAAACTGATGTTGTAACAGAAGGTGTAATTGTTCCTGAGTCTGTGTTGGAAGCTGATGTTGCTATTGAAGAAGCTTTAGATACCAGTGATCATGTTTTGACTTCTGATCTAATAACGGAAACTGTTAGAGTTCCTGATCAGGTTTTTGTGGCTGACCTTGTTACGGGTCCTGATGGACATTTGGAACATGTGGTGCAAGACTCTGTGTCAGGAGCTAACTCACCCACAATGGTTTCAGAAGAAGTTCTTGTAACTAATTCAGATACAGAAACTGTGATTCAAGCAGCCAGTACTGTTCCTGGTTCTACGGTTACAATAAAAACTGAAGATGATGATGATGGCAAGAGCACTTCTGAAGACTACTTAATGATATCTTGTAAGTGAAATAAAGGTAGATATAAATAGGAGATTATTTCAACTAGAAGTGGTCCAGTAGGGAGAAGTTATTAAAACTGAAATCTTGCTAACCTGTGCACCTGAACTCTCTGAAAGAACAGTCTCTTGCCACATTAATTACTTGGTGCCAAGAGTTAGATTTTTCGTGTGTGTGTAATTTCTGAACAATGAGTGTTTAAAAAAAAATTAACCTTGCAGTGATACAGTAAATTTAAAAAAACATAATTATCAAATTATCGAAATATGTGCAGAAAATAGCATTTTTCGAGTTTCATCAATAGCATCAAGCTAGAAAAAAGAACATAATGTAAGAATGGCCATACTGGATCAGACCAGTGGCCCATCTAGACCAATAATCCTGTCTTCTGATAGTGGCCAGTGTCAGAGGAATGAACAGAATGAGGTAATTCCCCTGTCATCCAGTTCCATCTTCTGGTAGTCAGAGGTTTAGGGACACCCAGAATATGGAGTTGTGTCCCTGACCACATTGGCTAACATAAAAACGTTAAAGGCCATACATTTGTCTGACAAAACAAAAAGATAGTAGCCAGTTTGTTGTATGTACCACTGCCTGGTCTGAACTAAACTTAAAAAAAATATGCATTTATTGACTGACACCTCTGATCTGAGGCTGAAAATGAAAACTGGCTTCTTGCTCTATAGTGCACTGTGGGAAGTGCACATAGATTATTAGCTACCTGCAATTAGGGTACAGCTGGCTGAGTGAGAGCAACTGTGGGAAAACTGCAGACTAGGCAAATAATACTTTTTTTCTACAATTAAATGATATTGACAATTGGATGTCTGGTACCAGTTTTCACTCTCACCCACAGGACTTCCATGTAGGTTAATTAGTATACAAAATATCTGTCAGTGAAAACTTTTCGGAATTACAGCTAGTGAAATTTGACTAGGCCAGAATAGGTTTTGATTGTCCAATAACCATTTTATATAGCTGGTAGCAACCCATCTCAATAAATGATGGGAATGCCAAGTGTGTCAAAACTTCAGAGATCTATTTTCAATAAACTGCTTTTTTTTTTAAATTTTCAGGATAAATACAAATCACTGTATTCAGATATGTCTTATCAAGTCTACATTTTGAAACATGTCTGTGATGCTATTTTCCAAAACATTTTTAGAAGTATTACATGTTAGCTTTTTTTCCAAAATTGTGGGAGAGACAGAGCTACAGTTTTCATCAGTCTGTCCTTAATGTAATGTCATGTGCTGCATGCAAGGGCACTTTAAATATGTCACTTAAACTAGTGAGGGTTTTTGAACAAGAACACAAAGAAACCATTATGAAAGCAAATAAAACTTTCTACAGCAGTGGTATTCCTGTGTATGTTTTATGAGTAAAGGAACACCATTATAATGCTCAGTTGTTTTCACTGAAAGAATTCCTCCTTTCTAACAGAGTACTTATGATGAGTTGTGTTCTGTAACTGCGATATTTCCAACTGCATCCTTGTAATTGTAAGTAAAGTCATCTTTGGAATTCCTTCTAAGGTAGATAACTATAACTTGATGGTAGTTGTTGTGACTGTGTTTTAGGCACATCATGGTCTGAATAAACACAATTGCAACCTGAGTTATAAGAAAATCTGGTTTTTTGAAGAGTCATTATTAGGCTTTAAAGTCATCATCTCATTTAGACCAGTAGGACAGTTCTCACCACTTATGGGGCTTGATCCTGTAATGTGCTGAGCACTCCAGTTCTGGTGCAACAAAGTATATGCTAACTTTAAAATTAATCGTAAAGTTAAGCATGTACTTAAATGTTTTGCTTGATTGGGACTAGAGTTCTCATCACCTTGCAGAATCAGTCCTATGGAGCTGTTTTTTCAGATTTTATAAGATGGTGCTGAATTGGTTATGCTTCTGAAGATAATATGTAAATCTTTACAGCTAGATAATGGTTCTTTTTGTTTCCTTAAAGAAAATGAGAACTTGTATTCTTCAGAATCTGACTCTGTCATGCTGAGACAGATAAATATGTCTAGTGAGCCAGGAGTTTGAAACCTCGGATTAGTATAGATGTTTTACTGTATAGTTAAATATGCAACATATATTAAAGGAATATAATTGTATGCTATGATTCCCCATGATATATTACCAGGGTTTTCAAACTTTTTTGTAGTGTGGACCACATCTGAACAGAGAGATTATCTCATGGACATTTTTCTGATTCATGAACGCATAACATCCTTTGTCAACAACAGCAATTGTTTATATGGAACCATAATCTTAGAAAAGTATTTATAATATTTGTAAAGCTGTCTTTTAATGAAGTGTAACATCTTGAAACAAAGAGACCTTACATCATATGACCTGCTAGCTCTTCATGGATCACCACTAAGTGCTCTGTGGAACACAGTTTGGGAACCCCTACAGTATACAATGTTCTGGGACAAAAAGCTGGGTTAAAGCTTGCAGCTTTATTTCAAAATTACCTTATCTTGTCGCTTTGTGTTACAGTGTTAATACTGCTTAAATGTAGTTTACACCATTTTAAGATTGTATCTCCTTTGGCTATGCTACAAATTTATAAGGAAAAATCTTTATTTTAATGGTAAATGTTACCTGGAAACTAATAAGTATAGTCTGATCTTTTTGCTCAGAAGTTGATATGCACAGAAAACTTTGTAATAGTCAAAGTTTTCACTAGAAGTTTGTCACCATTGATCTGTTTTGTTTTGTGCAGATGAATTTAACTTCTTACATTAAAGGAAGCATTATGAGCATATCAGGTAAAAAATCATAAGGTTGAAAACTCAATTCTTAATATACTTACAAATCAAGCCATGGCATATTGGATATGTCAAATCACAGTTTCTGGAGACTTAAAATGGCCCAATAGGACACGTTAATGTCACCAAAAAAAAAAAAAAGGACATTTAGAAGTTAAGATAGAAAGTTTGTTTTAAATATAACCTTCTTTTAGATTACTTAAAACAAACAAAATGAGATTTTAATCTGTATACTGTACACACTAGATAACCAGGGTAAATGGGACAACTGGCACACTTGTAACTTAAAACATACTTTTTTGTTTGTTTGTTTTTCAGGTTTGCGATATTCAGACCCACAGGGGATTGCCAGCTTCTGGTCTATGTGTTGGCCCTGTATGCACTATGCGGGGGACCTCATACCCACCAAAGAACAACACTGGAGCTGGCCTTTAGGGGTAAGGTAATGTTCCACCACCACCTCCTTTTTAGTATATTACAATACAGTGTTGCATAGTTTGCTAAAATATTTTAATATATATTTCCTATATTGTACCATATGGTATATAAAGTAAACATATTGAACTTTAGAAAACTTTGCAAAATTGTAAAACCGTGGGACTTATATTGCCCTAATTTCATCCCTATGGGCTTCTTTGGTGGGTGTGGTATCACCAGCGTAGTGCATGCTGAGATATCACATGAATTGGGAGCTGGCAATCCACAGTGAATCTGGACATCACACACCTGAAAACAACTAAAAAAGGTAAGATTTAAGTTATAAGTGTGCTGAATGCTCCTCTTATTGTGCTTATTTAGGAGGATTCAGCATATATTTCTAAAGCAATCTGTTTGTTTTTTAATAAATGGGGAAGCAGCGTTATCTAATGTTTATAGTGGAGAACTCAGAGCCAGGAGACTTGTGTTCTGTTCACCATTTTTACTGACTTACTGTGTGATGTAGAAACTTTTATTCCTGACTTAAAACAAATACTGTGAATTTAGTATTCCTAAAGGCACTGGATTAACAGCCTATGTAACTGGAGTCCTTTTAAGAAGTCCATGTATTGTGTATGGATGGTGTTCAAGCAAGCATCTAGACACTGCCTATCATCAAAGAGGAAATCTCTGGGAATTAGAAATTAGTTCAGTTCTCAGTCTCTGCTAAGACTGCGGACAAAAATTAATTAGTGCTAACTATCTTGATTTTTTTTTTCTAATATGACTGTTTCTGAAAAGTGGACTTATTTCATGTAAACTAGCGAAGTAGATGGTAGAACTTATAGTTAACTTTTTAATTGCTACTGAGGTTGAGCTAGATATGTTTCATCATTCTAGAAGTGAAAACAACTATATTCCATTACCATTCCCTCAAAGCATCCAGTTTCCCTAAATTTATCTATTATGTTGCAGATTTATTTCAGGAGTTGACTCCAAATTTTGTTACATTCAGTTTAAGCATTTTGAGCATATTTCAGCTCCACTTATTAAAAGAGGAGCAGCTTGATTTTCAGAGAGTCTAGGTATATATGGTTTAGGACAAACTTGTTGATTTTTGGTTTCAGTTCTATGTGCTTAGCCCCTCTCAGAATCAGGCTGAGGATGTTTGTTGGTTTAGAAATACTTTAATATTTTAGTTATTGCAATAATGTTGCCTGCTAGAGCAGGGATTTAGAATTTTTAACAGATGTAGTTAAAAGTAAGTTGTATATTAAGAGATAAGATACAATATACATCAATATACACTATATGAATATTTCACTTCATCCCTCACTGAAAATATTTATTTATTTATTTATTTTACAATGAAGTATTTTTTTAACAGGGTCTTTGTTTCATTGGCATTGGTGCTCTGATAAAGCAAGAAAGCAATCAACCTCTGAAATATTATATTAGTTCTTAGAATTATATCAACAGACACACAAGGACATTTGGTCATTTTCATCACTCCATACCTTGAATATTTTGAAACTTTTTAAAGAAAAGTCATGTAATTGATTATTCCACTGTTCCTGATAGGAGGAGGCCTCCACTTTTGAACAATCTTTAAAGTATTAACATGTTTATTTGTCGTATTTAAATTAATTTTGTGTAAAATCTGTAAATTAAAAAACAGAAAACTAGATGATGCTTAAAGTCGTCATCTTGAAATCACATTTACCTCAAAGTTTTATACCTATTATACTTACAAGTAACCGCTTAAATTAGTGTAAATTTTTTTATACTTTTGTTTTATTTTGTACATCTAACAGCACTTTGTGTAGTCAGTTTCATTCTTCTCCTGTATAGTCAGTTTCCAATACCGCAAAGATTTACAAATGGAACTACTCACTTTGGTAGAACAAATCATGTGCAGAAATCTTTGCAAGATTGAGGACTTAATTGGAAAAACATCAAAAATGGAACAGAAAATCCTGTGATTTTTAAAGGATTTTTTTCATGAAAAGAACCAGGTCATTAAAGATGCTTTATCAGAAAATTAGTCCATTCCAAGATATTATAAAATAGTCAGATTCAAAATATTTAAGTTGATAGCACCTTTTAATAGACAAAACATTGGTTGTCTAGCTCTCCCTTCCTTCCTTCCTTTCCTTTAAAAGGTACATGGATAGTTGGATTTAGTTTTATCTCTGAAACACCATTCTGATAACATGAGCATGCTCTAATAGTACATGCTATAGCTGCTTCATATAAAAAATTTGTATTAACAGCCTGATACAGGTAAACTTATTAATCAAAGGTATTTGTAGATTCCTTTCTAGTTTTGCTATTCTTGATATTCGTTTTCTTGTTATGTTGGATATCATGCAGTCATCTTGGGTGGGAGGCGGTAAATGTTATACAGTACATTTATTCAGGACATCTTTAACAAATAAGGGCTTGATCCTGCTCCCACTGATTTCAGTAAAGCAAGATCAGCCATAAATTCTTTAAATTAAAAGGAAAAAGACCCTGAAAGGTTTAAGCTCATCCAGAAGAAGAGAAACTTAAACTTGGATCACTGAAAGCAATTGTGTCTTTCGCAAACTCCCTTACCATTTACAACCCAATCTTTTTTTTTAAAAGCTTGAAATATGCAAAAGATTATGTAGCCTACTATTATTTCACATTTTCTTTTTTAATCTATATTAAATTACAGAAATTTAATTTTGCAATACTTTACATTAGTATTTGTTGATTTTTAATGTTAATCAATTAGCTGCTTTATGTCTATTTAGTTCTGTTTTCAGTAGCTCCAGTATTGTTCTGACTCATTCAAAGACTTCTGAGATTCACAAGTTTCATCAGTGACACCAAAAAAACCTGCTGCAGTTGAGTAGGTATCATTAAAATGACTTTCAGAGTAGATTATGCCAAGTCATAAAGAAATAACCCACTGTCATATCTTTTAAAAAAAATTCTCACAGCCTTTGTATTTCTAATATAATACACATATTTTTTTACGTGGAAGATGATCCAGTATGGGTTACAGCTTATTTCAAAGTGTGGAATTCATTCCTCATTTGAGGGCTTCAGTGGGTATTTAGTGTTGCATTAACCTTATGCTGCCCTGGGCTAAGGGAGTAGGTAGTGTTCTGTCAATACATGAGTAATAAAAATGCTTTCTGTTGTGTGCCATTCTGATCAGGCTTTAGTGTCCTTTGCTATGAAATCAGCCCTATATATGTGAACATTTACTTTATCAAAAATCTGCTCTTCCACTTAATAGTAGTTTGAATGTAATGATTTGATTATATTGATAAAAGTACATTTTGAGTAAGTAGATTGAGTAGTAGGTGACTTAATCTCTTAGTTATAGACATGAAGGATGGCGGGTAGCTCAACTTCAAGTAGTTGGACATAAATCCAAATATTACTATCTCAACTTTTAACTAGCAAGAGACAAAATCTCACAAATATGCTTGCCCGGATAATAACTGACCCCAAAAACTCACAGCCAAACTAAAACACATTTGATAAGAATAACAGCTGTTAGTTATTAGTAATAGATATTTTGGACAGTAGAGAATTTGAAAATCTCAGAAGAATTAAAATATCAGGTTCTGGGTTTGTTTTTTAAATTATATTAGATATGTCTTATGTTTTTACTTTTTGATCAATCTATACCTTCTAGGCTTAATAGTTTACAATAGAATAAATATCAGATACTTTGTAATTACTTAATGAGTCTGCTTCCTGTGTGATTCATTTTACAACCATGTTTGGCCTTCATTTACTAAGTTTTGATAATGAAATTGAATACTGGACTTTACTAAAATAGACTAAGATATAAAAGGAAAAGGAACCATCTGTATAACTGCTTTTATAATAGTAGTTCCATTGGATCTTACATATTGAATATGTGAGGAAAACTTGCTAGAGATCACTTCTTGAGTCTTAACAAAATTTGTGTGTGAACCTCACTGTCCTTTTTTTATTTTTACAGTGGATGATGTTGGAGAAAAATTAGACCATATTGGAAGCACACCTTTAAAAATCAGCACTGAGGTTTCACACGATGATGTTTCTAAAGACGACGGGTTTGGTTCAGAAGTTATAAAAGTGTATATATTTAAAGCTGAAGCTGAGGATGACGTGGAAATAGGCAAGTTCTTACGTTCTGTTTATTGATTCAGGAGTTTGAAAATGTTTGTTAGTTTTGTGTTCTTTAATAAAATCTACTGTTTTGCAGTATGTGAAATAACATTTTTGTAGTGGTCTGTTGGGTATGTCAACCCAATTTAACTATTCCTTTCTCAAGGAAGAATCTCAAGTCTGTTTTTTGCCAGCACAATATTCAAAACACGCTTAAAATAGAAGCTTTGGGGGACACATAATATTTCTGTTCATATTTAACACACTGTTAGCATGCAAAAACTGACACCGTTTATGCCTATGATATCACTCGAATAGTACTATCCAACTGTTCAGCCCTGGTTTTTGTCAGGATACTGGTGAGAAAGGAGGGTTTTGTCTATTGTGCCACTAATGAGTAACAAATTTGAAATTTATAATGGCAAGAAAATATTTATTTCAAAGCATTTAATCAGGGTTTTACTAAATGTCTGTCTAAAACAGAAAAAAATACTGATATAAAACATTTTTCTAATTTAATTCTCATGAGATGATATTCTAGATTATCTTGTTTACATTGACTGTGTTTTTCTTTTTCAAGGAGGAACAGAAATTGTCACAGAGAGTGACTTTCACAATGGACATTCTGTAGCTGGAGTAATTGAGCAGGGAGGTGTAGGCAGAATGCAGCGAGAGAAGATGGTTTACATGGCTGTTAAGGACTCTTCTCAGGAAGATGAAGATATTAGTAAGAATTCTTTTTTAAAAAAAGTACATTTAAAAAATAGTACCAGAAATGAAAACTGTGTGCATAATATTGGTCACTTTCTAAAAGGAATTTGTTCATGTTTGTGAATGATTGTTCTCAGATTTCAACTAGTAGAAATCATATCTTGTCTTGCCCACAAATAAGAGTAGCCTATAATTATTATAAAATACATATTGTGCCTATCTTATACAAGCAGTTGATTATTTGTATTGAATTTAATGTGATCATTGATTGAGTCAATGAATAAGTAATTGATTTTTGCAACTTGCTAATTTTTCAGTTTGCCTAACAAACTAACTTGCTAAAATCTTTTTTACCTCATTTAAACAGCTTTATTATTGAAAGTGTCAAGACCATTTTAGATCACTTTTTAAATTTTATTAAGTAGAGCAGAACTTATTCTGGCAAAGTGGCAAAGAACCATCAACAGTTACACATTGACAAGGTCCTTTTGGTTGATAGTTATTTTTCCTATCTCAGGTCTAGCAATGTATATGGATAAAGCAACATAACCCTGTACAAATATTTTGGGGAGGGAAGAGAATTGTTCAGTGGGTATCACTACTAATCAGAATAATCATATGAAAATAAGCAATGGAAAATTTAGGCTGAACATACAGTAACATTAATTCAAGAATCACAACTTCTCCTCCTTAAATGTAGGTTGTGCTGAAATAGCAGATGAAGTTTATATGGAAGTCATTGTAGGTGAAGAGGAAGCAACATCACTTCCCGACACACAACTTGAAGACACTGGTGTGAATAAAACTTTTGTTCCTGTTGCTTGGGCTGCTGCTTATGGTAGGATGCTAGATTCTTCTTTTCCTGGGAATCCCCTCCTCTTTTTTTTTCCCTAACTTAGCTCCCAAATCTTTTAGAACATGACCTTCCTACCTCTCAGCTCTGTCTAAGGAGAGTTGTAAACAGCTGTCTCTGGAGCCAGTCATTAACTTACAAGAGTCACACGCTGGGGTTGCTCAAAGTGATATTTCAGCAGCTGTGCATACTTTCTCTAGAATGCCCTCAGACTCTTCCAACTAAGGAATGAAGGAAAATGCTAGTCCCAAACTCTAGCGTTTTGTTTCACTAGCCTGCCAGACAGCCCTTAAATTATTTTAATATCTGTTTTTTCTTAATCATAAAAAATACCTTGCTTAGTGTTGGGTTTTATACAAGGAAAAGCATAGTAGTTTGTAAGGTTTTGATACTGTTGTTCGAGGTACTAGTTCAGGGATGTCTAGCATGCAAATTTCCCTTGCATATCTTGAAGTCAGCTACTGAGCATTATAGAATCTTGCATAAGCTAAAGGAATTTGTTCAATATACATGAAGCTGGCTGGTGAAAGGTTCACACAAGTTTTATCTGAGAAAAGGAAAATGAGTGTGAGAAAATAAGCTTAGGGTTTGTCATGCAGACCTCTTCCTCTCTCAGTCCTAGGCCATGTCTGCACTAGAGAGCTTAGAGTGGTGCAGCTGTACCAGTGCAGCTGTGCCACTGTAAGATCTCTAGTGTAGCCAGTTTATGCCAATGGAAGAAAGTTCTCCTGTCGACATAATTAATCCACCCCCAACAAGTGTCGGCGGGAGAAGCTCTTCTGCAGACATAGTGCTGTCCACACTGGCACTTACGTCTGTGTAACCAGTGTCGCTCGGGATGGGGGTGGGGGTTATTCACACGGGCTGAGCGACATAAGTTATACTGACATAAGTGGTAATATAGACTTAGCCTTACAAGTCATAATCAAACTCTTCACCCTCTGACAGAAAACAAATTGTGTGGGGTTTTTTGGTGGTTTTTTTTAAAGTCTTTTGTATGTCTAAATAAGTTGATCTTCATTGAATAGTATGAACATTTTATTAGGACGTTTTAATGGTGCAAATTCTGTATATTCTATTAATATCATATATATTTACTATACTGTAGGGTTTTAACTTATAAATACATCATATTTAAGGGAGTATCCTCTCAGATCATCTCTGAGTCATGAAAGAGAGTGTCAGTTGTTTAAGGACGGAGTTCTAACTGGAGTTGGCTGGAAAATGGAAATCCCTTCCTGTGAAAAACTTTGCAATTTTGAATTTTTTTCCATGCTGAATCAGGATGAAAAGTTAAAACTGCTTTTAAAAAAAAAAAAAAAAGTGGGAAGGGATGAAAAATTCCATTTTGAAACAATAACAAACATTTTCTGCTTGCCCACAACTCGCTTGGAAGACTCTTGTTAATTTAACTTTCTCCCTGCAGGCTGAAAATGAAATTGACGAGCATTCCAGGCAGGCAGCCAGAAGAGCCATCAATTTTTTTGTTGAAAAATTTGAATGTTGTGAAAAGGGCATTTCCATCAGAAAATTAATCTGACAGAAAAGTCCTGGCCAGATATACTTCTAACCCCATTAGCTGGCAGACAAAAATGTGTTTGAACCATAGAGTCCAAAAGCATAGCAAAAACTTTTTCAGTCCAGAATGAGAAAATGAGAATACTGCTAAGATGTAGCCCATGTCATCCCATAGAGCTTCAGCATTCTTCGTGCAAGTGCTGAATGACCACTGTATCAAGACATGGTAAAGTAGTCCAAAACTTATCATGCACCAAGTTCTTGATAGGGAAGTAAGATATTTGAACTTGCTCTCATGCAAAAGAGAATCGCGGAACTTGGTTATTTTGTACTAGGTGGTGTTTATCAGAACCTAAGAAGAAAGCAAGTTTGTACAGGTATATGTACAATATGGTCATTGTCTGGTTTGGCATCTCTGTAGAGAGTGGTCAGGATGGTGAGGACTCTGCAGTAAATAAAGTTTGCTAGCTAGCTAGCTGTTCTCTCACACGAGTTTCAAACCATCATTGTCAAATACAATTTCAGTTTATGAATTAGTAAAATATTGTGTTCTATAGGAGATGAAAGAAGACTGCCCAGAAGGTATGAAGACTGTCAAGCAGCAGGTGAGAACATATAATTACATTTGATGCAAGAGCTACATTTGCTTTCATATTTTTTTGAAAAAACACAGTTGTATATCAGATTTTCCACTAAGAAATTCATGACTGTCTCCCTTATTTCATGGAATATTGACAAATTCCTGATCCACAGCTGTCCTGGTCAGTGAATGCTATCAAACTTTTCAGAATGCATATGTGTAAGGGTTCTATACACTTGGAACTCATTTCTTCAAGGAATTGCAGTTACATAAACATTGTAGAAATAAGAACAATCCTAAATGCAACAGAGGCCCTCAGAAATGTACATCAGTATCTTTTAGTATAGTTTTGGGTGATCAGGGAAGGGAAAATGAGGCCACTGGGGAGTAAAGGACTGCTAGGTTGGAGGAAAGAACAGGCATAATTAGCTGAATGTTAAGGGTTTGGGAGTGGAGGAAACAAAGGTCCATAATGAGTCCAAATTTAATGAAATTCTTATATAATGCCTTATCAATAACTATGGTAAATATTGACCCTTTGAAAAAAAGCTTGCCCATTCCTTTCTACAGTGAACATTTATTTTTAAGGTAATGTAAAGTGACTTGCTCCCATGTGATTCCAGTCATCTAGTCCCAAAGAAAAAACTTGCTTATAGTTTTTATGGTGTCTGATCTTTGTATTCAGGAAATAACTTGGATACACGATTAGAAAACAAAAATGGTAATGCAGCACAGTACCTGCAAATCTGTGATAGCATTAACACAAATAGAGCGCTTAAACAAAAAGCCAAGAAGAGGAGGAGGGGAGAAACCAGGCAGTGGCAAACAGGTAGAATATTTTTCATTGTTTATTGTATTGGTTTATATGGAAAGATCCTTTTTCCTGCAACTATTTTAAAAAAAAAACCACACCTACCACCACTGAAATTGTGTAGTGCAACTGTTCTAAAACTGTTGTCCCTGGAAAATTTGCTGATGGTCCACAGATTGCTGACTGGTACATCATGCTGACTCTCTTAATTTCCAGCTGGCAAATTGCATTAAAAGACATCTAAAATACATTTTTTCTAATATTACTTATCCACATAAACAATTCCTGTAGTTGTCACGGGGATGTTATGTGATCATGAATGGGAGGTGAAATATACACAATTGGGAATGGGAGAAAGGTTGATTAACAAGGCAATCTCTCCATTAATTTGTGGTCCATTCAGTAAACAAGTGCCACCAGTGCCCATGCATTGGGGTAGCATTGGGGGTTTATGCCTTGCTTCAGTCAACTCTTTTAACAGTATTTAAAATTGTAGATATCTGGGATTTGGTTGTTTAAAGCTACTAAACTATTTGCTCTATCTGTGAAGTTCAAGTAAATGTTCTTGAACAGTTTTTTTAATTCAGCACTTTTATCAGTTTTCTTCATAACGTCTTCTGTTTGTTTGAAAACAGCTGTTATAATAGGTCCTGATGGACAGCCCTTAACTGTCTACCCTTGTCACATATGTGGGAAAAAATTTAAATCCAGAGGATTCCTGAAAAGGCATATGAAGAACCACCCAGATCATATGATTAAGAAGAAATACCAGTGTACGGACTGTGACTTTACAACTAACAAAAAAGTAAGTTTCCACAACCATCTGGAAAGCCATAAACTTATAAATAAAGTTGACAAAACCCATGAGTTTACAGAATATACAAGGAGATACAGAGAGGCAAGCCCATTGAGTTCTAATAAACTGATATTGAGGGACAAGGAGCCTAAACTACACAAGTGCAAATACTGTGACTATGAGACTGCAGAACAGGGACTGCTGAATAGACATCTGCTTGCAGTTCACAGCAAGAACTTTCCTCATGTTTGCGTTGAGTGTGGGAAAGGATTCCGTCATCCATCTGAGCTTAAAAAGCATATGAGGACCCACACAGGGGAAAAGCCATACCAGTGTCAGCACTGTGTCTTCAGATGTGCTGATCAATCCAATCTGAAAACACACATAAAAACCAAACATGGGACTGATTTACCATTTAAATGTGAGCATTGTCCCCAAGCATTCACAGATGAAAAAGAACTTCTTCAGCACACAGAGTTATTTCAAGGACATAAGACTCATCAGTGTCCACATTGTGACCATAAGAGCACCAACTCAAGCGACCTGAAACGACACATTATTTCGGTTCACACGAAGGACTTTCCCCACAAATGTGAGGTGTGCGAAAAAGGCTTCCATCGTCCATCTGAGCTCAAAAAGCATAGTGAAACCCACAAAGGTAAAAAGATACATCAGTGTAGGCACTGTGACTTTAAAACTTCAGATCCTTTTGTACTTAGTGGGCATATCCTCTCAGTTCACACCAAGGACCTGCCTTTTAAATGCAAAAGGTGCAAGAGAGGATTTAGGCAGCAAAACGAACTTAAGAAGCACATGAAGACCCACAGTGGAAGAAAAGTGTATCAATGCCAGTATTGTGAATATAGCACTACGGATGCATCAGGCTTTAAACGACATGTAATATCAATACACACAAAAGACTATCCACACAGGTGTGAATACTGCAAAAAGGGATTCCGTAGACCATCAGAAAAAAATCAACATATAATGAGGCATCACAAAGAGGCCATAATGTAATATATGATGTTGAGAAGGAAGCAATTTAGAAACTGTGATATGCTAATTGGGGAAAAAAATCTCATGAACTGTTTCTCCTGGTTTCAAAGCTTGATATTAAATCATAACTTTACATTCTTTGTATTAAAAGTCTTAAAAGTATTAAGGTTGACAGGGATCTCATAGTCCTATGATTGTGGCTTACCAGAACCTAAAGAGCACTATAGAATGCAGAAAGATGGATGAATGTCTGAAAGGTTGCAGAAGGATTGCTGAATGTCTTCTATTAATAGTATTATACATTGTTAAGCTACAGAAGAGAAAATGAAGACGATTGTGTTATCCATTTCATCAGTAACAGCATTTGTCTCCAATATGAAAACTGTTCAGTTGTGGTGGGGTTATTTACAAACTTTTTGTCAAGGCAACCAATTCAAACTTCTTATTCAGTTTTGAAAAGAATATAAGTCAATCACTTGGTCATTATGTTTTTAAATTGTGCCTGGAAATTGTATTCCAGATTTGGTCAAATTTGGGGGTTTCTCCCCCCCCCCCTTTTTTTTTTTTTTTTTTTTTTTAACATTTCATTGGGAAACCTTTTTGTTTCCTTTATTAGTCTAGGTTCAGTGAGTAATTTTTTAAAACTATTTTCAGAGCTGCTAACCTATTTTATGGCAGGATATGATGTTAAAAATATTGCATTATGTTATGAGCTCAAAGGTGGTGTTCCGGTGCTAGGGTTAAAAATATGTATGTATATGATTTCCCTTTTTTATCTGAAACTGCAGTTGAATGTTGTTCAGTATGGCACATGACAAATGCCTTTGAATCTGTCATTTTTTTAAAAGGAAAAAATGAATGCAGCTGATAGTGTTGTCTCAACACAGTTTTTTTTTTTTTCTTGCTACTTTAAGATCTTCTCTAAAAAGAGTATTAAAAAAGATTCAAAGAACACAATAGTTTTTTTGAATTAAAATACAAAATACTTAGAGGTTCTTTAGGGCAGTGTTTATAACAGGTATGGCTATTCTAGTCCTACCTGCTAATATAAAATTTTCAGTATAGACATAAAATTGCACCTTTTAATCAATTCTTTAAAAATCTCTACCATACTATAAACATGCATTTTCAATCTGTAAGAAAGTATATATGCAGTATTTAACCAGAAAAATATGCTGCCACTAGAGTTTGGAGGTGGATCTTCAGTTTACAGTGTATACATTTAAAATATGCATCCCTTTAAACAATGCTTTGTGTTAGCATGCTGCAAATCAAATGGCGCTTAATATAACAAGCTGGTCTAGGGCTATTTAATGAAAAACCTGTTCATAAATGTTATGCATATAATGTGTACTTTTTTACTTTTAGTTGCTTCATGTTTGCACACAGCTGTTCACATGATAAATTGTAACTTTACTTCATGCTATATTGTGGCTTTGTGTTTCAGATAATGTTCATATTTTGTTTTTGCACCAGATGAGAATCAGTTCCTTGAGAATAAATTTTTTTTATATTTCTAAACTTCAGAAAGCTAAATTGGGAAATCTCTTAGAAAAATAAGTGTTTTATGTGGCTGTAAAAAATGATGTACACGCTGTAAAATAAGATTGTCACTGTTACGTGGGATTATTATTTCTAAATGTGTTACTCATCGTAATGAGCATACAATAAAATGCATCTCTTGCACTCCAAGTTTCTTTGGAGTCTTTGTTTCTCATTTATGCTGATTCTGGGAATGTTCTTCTTGACTGAAAATGTGCCTGATATTTTAATTTCATCGTTCTTTTCAGCTTTGTATGAGTTTAATCATCTGGACTGCGGTAAGCCAATTAACTAACAAGTGTTCAAATAGGCTACCACTTTTTTATTGTTCCGTTTAATTATTTTCATTGTATAGTGCTGGCATTAGAGCTGGGTGAAATTTTTTTGGCTAAACCTTTTTTGCCGAACATTGCAGGTTCAGATCAGCCAAAACATTTCACGAATTTGTGTTGACTGTGACAAATTGTTTTGGTTGAAACTCCTCCCATCAGCCCTCCAAAAAAAATTTCTTAAAAAATAAAAATGTTTTGTTTTGATATTTAATTAATCAAACTATTTTCATTTTTTCTATTCAAAATTTCTTTGTTTCTAAGTATGCTTCAATTTTATTTTTCTTTAAAAACTCATAAATTAAGTGTTTCATTTCATTCAGAACATTTTGTTCAACCCCAGTTTTTTTTTTTTTTTTTCCAACTTCTGTTGGTTCACCAACAATTTGTGGGGGGAATTGCTTTGATTGGCCTGAAGTGAATTTGTTTTTTAATATTTTTGGATCAGCTAGCAAACCAACAGATCAGTTATTTGTGCAGCTACTAATTAGCAGTGAGACTTTGCAGTAAATTTAATTCAACATATGTACTAAAATAGTCAACAGATATGGAAAGTAATTGATGTTCCTTTGAATTTCCTTGTTTGGATTCTGCAAAAACATAATTTTCCACACATTGTGGAAAAACCACAGGTAGGTTTAAATTTTTCATAAGAAGAACAGTTCACAATTTAAAATACTAAATCCTTTTTTCTTAATTGCGTTTCCTCCCTCCTAACTTCATGTTTTTTCAGTGGAATTATGTAAACTATAATCAAATATACAAAAATATATAATTGAATCAGAGTTTCCTGTGTGGAGATGTTTCAAAACAAAACAAAAGCCTTCAAGTAGTGGTATCCTGTAAATACTTCAAAAGGATTCCCACCAAAATGTTCCCCCTTGGCTTGTTACAAATTCAGTGTATCCTGTGGGCATGTGCTCACAGATATGCGAGATGGGGACTGGAGAGTCTCTTTTCTTTTTCTTTCCCATTTAAACCAAATACCTTCTCGTAACCATTCCCTAACTAATCTAAGTTAAAATCTAGTTAATTGAAAATGTTTATATTTTTTGTTCCTAAAAATTATACTGACTATATTGACACAGCATGGGTTTTCCCTTGTACCGGGATTGAAGATCTACCCCCAATAGACTGAAGATCTTGCCACTGTCCTGGTCTGACCATCTCTTCTACCAGCAGATATCAGCGCTTCTCATCTAAAAGCTGGACCATTCAGGTAACTTGGAGTATCATTGAATTTATACTATATAAAACTTTACAAAGAGATTCAGTCCCACACAGGAACAATTTTTTGTAGGTAAAAATGTCACAAAATTAGTCTGACATCCTCACAGGTGATTAGGGCTAGAAATAGGAGAACTTATCCTCATAGAGAAATATTTCCACCCCCTCAGTGGAAGCCAGCATTTGCATCTTGCATATAACCCTGGAAGGGCCTAAAATTCTGGATTTTAGCATTGTGACTTTTCATATACAGAAAAAGTATTTGAAGTCGTTTTTATGTCTCCCTCTAATCCTGTACAGTAGCACTGTTGGTAGCTAAAACGTTCGGCTTTACAAACAGCGTCCTTTGGTGCACACTGGTGCCCCTGCTCTCCTCATGCGCTGCACTGAGAGTTTAAGGGGTGGGGCAGACCAACCACCTCTCCAGTTCCTCCTTACTGGTGCATGGCCTGCATTGGAACCGAATCTAAATATTTAAATTTTATCTTTAATGTAGCTAGTGTAAATAGTTTTAATAATGTAAGTCATGTTTAATTGGATTTCCTACCCCAGGGAACCCTTCTGACTCCCTTATGGGAATTAGATTATGCCCAGAACACTGGGCTTTTAAAATTGTCTCGTCAAGCCCTGCTCGTTCTTGGTCAGCGACAGCCACCAGCACTGCCTTTTCGGCCTTAGGAAAGTGCATATGTCGATCAGGTGAAATATTTGTCGTTGCTTCCCTAGCCATGCCAGCCTGCGCAGGACTTCTTGCTTAAAAACCACCTAATGGAAAAGACTGTGAGACGCCAGGCAGACCCAGCCTGGGGGACCCTCTCCCTGCCCTGGTACATTGGCCAGAGTCAGTGAGGTGCACTCCTCCTACCACACGGCTGATTTAGGAGCAAGGGAAATCAAATCTCTAGAGTTCATCAGGAGAGCAGGAAATGTTCTCAGAAACACAAGAGCAGATCCCCCTGTAAGTCCACTCCAAAGAAGACCTGTCCAGGTAGTACAATCCTCCATGCCCAGCCCCCAAAGATTTAGAATGTCCTAAGTCACAGAACCATCATAAAAGGAGGAGGGCTTTATCGGAACCAGACTCTGCACCATCAGTAACAATGGCAGCAATACCACCTAGGTTGAAAGACCGAGAACTGCTGGGCTATGGGATAAGTCCATCTGCCATCCTGTCTGTTAGCTGCAGCTTTGGTCTGACAGAACCGTTGAGACTGCTGATTGACGTGGATCTGGCCTTTTTGTCATTGAGGAAATCAAAGGAACCGTCATTGCCTCCTCCAATGGAGATGTCCACACAGGCGATCAAGAGCTGGAACCAACCTGTACGCAGACACACACGCCTTGGAACTAATGGTACCCCATGCCTTGGGGCTTCCATGATGCACCTTTGATCCATCCTACTGGGGCTAGTGGGCCCCATACATGATACCCATGGTTGGTGGGATCTAATAAGGAATCATTCCACTCCTCCCCTCCAAGAGAGCAGCCAGACCTTATATAAGACTACAAGCTGGATCCACTGGTTCCACCAGTACTGGCAAGGCTATCCTTAGTTCCCAATGAGGCAGTTACCCCAGCTTTGCCATCCCCTCCAGATTATTACAAGCAATTTCAAAAGCTGCTACGCAGGGTGGTGGAGGAGCTCCTAATCTCCCTGATAGAGGTCCAGGATACACAACACAAGCTCCTAGATATCCTGCAACTCACAGGGTTCAGCCCGATAGCACTCCCAATGATTGAAGCCATACCAGAGCCAGTAAGAGCCATATGCCATAGACCGGGAACATGCGCCCTTACCCCAGAGGGCTGAGGTGTGTAACTTTGTCCTGGTTAAGGGAGTGGAGTTTCTATTTACCACACCAAATTCCCTGGTTGTTAAGGCTGCCACGGAAAGATCTAGGCAGCAATATCCATGAGCCAAACCCCCCCAAGGAAGCCAAGCATCTGGATCTGGTGAGAGACAGTATAAACATCTAGTAGCCTCCAGTTCAGAATATATAATGATCAAGTGCTGTCGGCTAAGCATGATTTTCTGAATTATTCAAAGTTCTTAGATTTTAAGGGCAAATTACTTCATCAAGATGGGCTCTATTTCAGGTCCTTATTGATGAAAGCAAGTTCGGGGCCAAAACTGCATTACAATTTACTGCTGATGCAATGGACACTGCGTCAAGGGCAACACTGACATGGTTACACTTATGGTTTCTCAGGGAGGTGCAGAATGCAATGGAGACCAACCTTTTCAACTAAAAGACTTCTGAGTCTTTGCATTCACTAAAGGACTCCAGGACAGTCCTCGCTCCCTGGGTATATAAACATTAGCTCCAAAGAGGAAATACCACAAACATCCCTACAAACCCAGGCCTATACCTCAACTATTTTAGCATCAGCAATCCTATGAACTGTCTCGTAAAGGACAGAGGGTACAAAAGCTGTAAT